TCATGGAGACGGCTCTTCCAGAGATCTGGACTGACAACCTGCAGCAGGGCCAAACTCTAGTGAGTCACACACAGGCTCCCATTGACTGTTTCAGCGCATTTAGGGTTGTTTTTTTTGTTTTTAATAGTTGAATATACTTTGAATGTAGAACTTGAGATTAATTGAACTGATCAGATTCAGATTTTTAAAAAGTGTTAAACATTTAGATTATTATTGATGTGTAACACTTTTATATTATTATTATTACAGTTTCATTTTCAAATATATTTACCATGTTGGTCAAGGTTTTTTGTAATTTAGGTTTACATGCGCATTTGTCTTTTTTTGCTCTGGAAAAAATAGCTAGGGTCAAAAATGTCACTTTTTAATTTATTTCCCAAAGCCCATTTTTTACTCTAATTTAACGCTTGGGTGCTTGTTTATTTTGCTTACAATTAAGTGTTACAACTGGCTAACCTCTTTCCATGTGAAAAAAAGATTATAATAAAATTTAAATGAATTCTAAGACTTGAATGATTTCTTCTCTCCTCAGCGCACAGGTCCAAACTCAACAGCCAATAGCATTATGGCATCATTTCAGCAGCAGAAACCCGCTGTGCCTCAGCACGGTGAGTACTTTCAGTGAGGCGGTTTTCATTCATGGGATTCGTTTTGAATTTACAATGACCCTGTTCTCTCTTCAGACACAGAAGCCCTGACTGTGCCGAAGATGAGGATCGGTGTCAAGTGGAAACTCAGCATTCTCAAATAGTTTGCATGTGTCTCTGGGCTTGCTTTTTTTTTGTTGTTGGTTATTTTATGCAAATAAAATGTATTTTATGGGATATTATGAAGTAATTAAAATTCATAAATTACTTACAGTCTTCTGAGTTTTTCTCATAGCTGTAGTTCACAATCATATTTAGTCTCTGAAACTAAGAGCAAAGTGTAAGAATGTGTGACTCTCTACGTTTCTTGTTAAAACCCATAATCCAAACTAACCCATGTTCCATTTGTTTTGTTAGGTTTAAATAATTTTTTTTAATATTTGCAGGAGATTAATATCTTAATTTGCATCATAGGGGCCTGTCACTGTTGAATGGCTGTATTTACTCATTTCATTCCTACAAGTTGAAAATAAAAATTAATCAATACTGGCCTTCATTTATAGTATTTAAAAAAAAACTTATGGCGTTTCAGTTTGAAAATTTTAATGTCTGGGTGACTAATTGCTTACAGAAATCTTTTTTTTTATTTTTATTAAAACCTCTGGCTTTTCAATGTGCAAGACACAACTTGTGGTCAAATGCTTTAATTATGAGACATAAAGGAAGAGAATGACTGGAAAAAAATGATCTAATGTTGGATCAAAAGAACAAAACTTGTTACTATAAATTACAGATGCTTCCATTTGCCAAATTTAACTCCAAAATTTAAAAACTTATCCACGGCACTTAAAAAAAACAGGTATGTACAAAAAAGGGTTAAAAATGTAGGCAACTTGTATTCTAATTGTGTTCTCCTTCCCGCCCCAACCAATCCAAATCCCCACATTACATCACATCTGTGTGGTTACGGCTTCCAGAGTTTGAGAAGCCCATCCTCACTGTATGTGGAGATCAAATTCTGGTGTGGGTGGTGGGCAATACCAATGACATCCTTCTCATGAACCTGTAGGGGAAAAAATTGCATTCGTTTTAAAACATTACAAATTTAAAAAATACACATACATAAATTATAGTTTTTACATCCCATTTTAGTGACCACATCAAATGTGATTTTATATACACAGAAAGCATAATAAATGCAAGTTTGTCTACTGTAATTTTTCAAATAACTTGTGAAAATATGGATGAAATAGTGTTTCATCATTCAGCGTAACATATTTACGTAAAAATGAAACAACATACTTATTCTGATCTGTACTTACTATAATACATAAAATAAGTGATCATACTAAACTGTATTATGTTTTAAATTGATTAAAACCTACTGGTTTGAAAGATGGTAAAGGTTTAAAATGACAATGAATTCACAATAAAATTAGTTTTTTGAGACTGCACTGACCTTTAAATAGTATTTTAATGTCATCTAATTATTCTTGTTCTAAATTTGCCTGACAGGATTCACAATGTCATTTTTTCCTCAAATCATGGTAAAAAAAATTCATGATGGTCATTTTTTGAAACAGGACATTCTAATGTATGAAACAACTTAAAGCTATATTAAGCTTTTGTGTAAAAATACAAACATTTGTACAAAAAATGATTTCAACATGTTGATTTGTTAAACAATGGTAAATGAAGGGAGAGATGGATGGAGGAGGCTTACGGTCAGGGTTCTCTCTAGTTTGCCTGTGACTGTGCTGAAACAGTAAAGCACAAAGTCCTCGCCGACACAGTAGATCCACTCACCACGTGGAGACAGAGAACAGCATACAAAATCACCACCCTCTCTCTTACCAGAGCTGAAACTCCTCACAATCTGCAACAGG